CCCGCAAGCAGCTGGCCACCAAGGCGGCCCGGAAAAGCGCTCCCTCTACCGGCGGCGTTAAGAAGCCTCACCGCTACAGGTAAGGCCGCCAGCACGGCACGACCCGGCCCGGCCCAGCGCTGCCGCAGCCACTGCCCTGCCTCACCCGCTTCCTTCTTCCTCCTCCAACCAGGCCGGGTACCGTCGCTCTCCGTGAGATCCGTCGTTACCAGAAATCCACGGAGCTGCTGATTCGCAAACTGCCCTTCCAACGGCTGGGCCGGGGAATTGCCATCGCCCAAGATTTTAAAACAGACTTGAGGTTCCAGAGTGCAGCCATCGGTGCGCTGCAGGTACGGGTAGTGGCCTGCTGGGCCTCGGCGCTCGCGGTGCTGCCTGTGCTTCGCTCAGGGTTTCTAACGACATTTCTTCTTGTGCTTTTGAAAACAGGAGGCCAGCGAAGCATATCTGGTGGGTCTGTTTGAAGATACAAACCTGTGCGCCATCCATGCCAAGAGAGTCACCATCATGCCCAAAGACATCCAGTTGGCTCGTAGGATACGGGGAGAGAGAGCTTAAGTGAAGGCTGTTTTTATGGTGTTTTGTAGTAAATTCTGTAAAATACTTTGGTTTTAATTTGTGACTTTTTTTTTGTAAGAAATTGTTTATAATATGTTGCATTTGTACTTAAGTCATTCCATCTTTCACTCAGGATGAATGCTAAAAGTGACTGTTCACATAAACCTCAGTGATGTGAGCCTTGTTGCTCAGGAGTGACAAGTTGCTAATATGCAGAAGGGATGGGTGATCTTTCTTGCTTCTCATGCATGTTTCTGTATGTTAATGACTTGTTGGGTAGCTAAACTTGTAAGGTACTAGAATTGATATAAATGTGTACAGGGTCCTTTTGCAATAAAACTGGTTATGACTTGATCCAAGTGTTTAACAATTGGGGCTGTTAGTCTGACCATACATCACTGTGATCAAATGTGGACTTTTTTCAGAGGGTGAAACTACAAGTCTTAACCACAGTGTAACTTACAGTTTCCTAAAAACGTAAACCTGGCAGCTATAGAATACACTATGTGCATTTATAATAGCTATTTTATATATTGTAGTGTCAACATTTTTAAATTAAATGTTTTACATTCACATGTTGAGAGGAGTCTTTGTCATTTGGTTTGTATGGGCTTGAAGAAGCTGCTTCCTCCTCCTGGCTCCTGTCAGCCTGCACTGCTGCTGTGGCAACTTCAATTTGTCTTGTCAACAGAACAGGGACCTCACCCTGGCTGCCCTCAGAGGTTTTTGGAGTTTTTCTGTTGTTTGAGTCACTGCTCTTGGCTGGTGAGAGCAGAGCTGAGCCCGGCAGCGGTGGGGTAGAGGAGGAACATCCTGATGGACAGGCCTGGGCAGCAGCCTCCTGCCTTTGGTGGGGGCTTGTGGGTTTTTAATAAAGTTCAACTGCTTCATGCCCCACTTGGGCACAATTATTGCAAGTTGGGTTTTTGGTTTTTGGTTTTTTTCCCCCTCCTTCTTTGCAGTAGGTGCTGGGGAAGTTAATGTTAGTGGTGTGACTGGTCTGGCTGCTTCAACTGCTTCATGCCCCACTTGGGCACAATTCTTTCAAGTTGGGTTTTTGGTTTTTGTTTTTTTTTTCCCCCTCCTTTGCAGTAGGTGCTGGGGAAGTTAGTGGTGTGACTGGTCTGGCTGCATGACTAAGTCCCAGTTAATAGCAGTGCAGGATGGCGTGCGAGTGGAAGAGCTAATTACACAGCCCCAGAGCAGACAGGCTGCTGAGCAAACTGGAATGGGCACTCAACAGGACTCACATTTCCCACCTCACAGGATCATACTCAAACCTTCCCTCAGAACTGGGCTCTGCAAAGCCAGGGCTGGTTTTCTCAGCTGTACCTTGTGAGGTGGGAGAGGAAAAGGCTGCTCAGGCTGCCTCTGACACAGGTCAGCAACACTGAAATGGAAATGCTCTCCTCAGCTCTTGGAGAACAGGCTGCACTAGGAAAGCGGCACAGGGCAGTAGTTCACTGGCTCACCTGGGTTTATTTCAGTGAAATGAAAAGTGCTGCAGCAGAAAGCAGCAGCGTGTCAGGAGCAAGAACAGTGGTTCCTACCTGAGAGCAGGCACCGAGCCAGCGCTGACCCTCTGCGCAACTGCAGAGCGGCCGCGGTTACACCACATCCTGCAACCGTGGCCGGACAGCAGCGTGGAAACCATCCAGCCTCCTGCCCCGGGGAGCTGGGCCCGTGTCCCTCGGGGTGCTGCAGGTGAAGGCTGAGCCAGGGGGGCTCAGGGCTGGAGCCAGGGCTCTCCCTGATCACACAAACCACTCGGTGTGCTGAAATCCTGCGGCTGGAGGAACAGGCTCCTTACCACGCGCTCTTACACAACTTCCTCCACCCCTCCAACTGCCCTCGGAGCAAACACAGCCCCTGGTCCATACCATCATCTGCCACAGAGCTGCTAAAAACATCTAAAATGATCCAAAATTAAGTTTTAAACTCTTTTCCTCACTGCTAAACTTGCAGGGAAAAAGATTTCCTTGCATCTACTTTATAAATTATTGCTTTAAGGGGCTTGATTGAAGTTAAGCACTGTCTCAAAATTGAGTTGATGCTGAGTGATCTCGGGGGGGGTACACCCTGGGGAGGGGACACCTGGCAGGGATGTCCCCACAAGAAACCCGAGGGTCCTCAGTAGCCCAGAAGCCGGGTAATTTAGGAAGCACCACGCTCCTCACGTTTAAGCAGGTTAAAAATAAGAATTCCAAAGTGATGGGATTGAGAAATGTTTGATTTGCTGCTAAACTGCAGTAGCGGGCTGGGCTCCTGCAGGAAAAGTCTGTTTTAAAATAACATCCCTCGAAAACACTGTTTCCTCCAAGTTCTCAGTGGAAACAATGAACCATCTGGGTATGCCTAGAAGCTGTTTCTTAAAATAAAATCATTGTCTAGCAGTTCTTAAAAAAAAAAAGTAAAAATAAAAATATACCAAACATACAAACACAAAAACCAAACCCACCAGAAAACGATCAAAACGTCTATTTATCTATTTATCTAACTATTTATCTAACCCTATCAAAGTTATATGTCTATTTAACTATTTAACTAGTATCTAGTTAAACGACTATTTAACTCTATCAAAACATCTATTTATCTATTCATTTTTTTATTGACTAATCTCAATAAAAAAATAAATCAAAAAATAAAACCCATCTATTTATCTATTTATTTTTTTATTGACTAATCTCAATTAAAAAAATAAATCCAAAAATAAAAACCATCTGTTTATTTTTTAATTGAGTAATCTCAAGTAAAAAAATAAATAGATAAATAGATGTTTTTTTCATTGAGTAACCTCAATAAAAAGAAAATTAAGTCAAATCTTGAGTGTGCTGGACCAGAAGAGCAATTCTTGGTATCCCACTATCTCACTGTGATATCCAAAGACACAAACCGTTCTCTTACCGATTCTCCTGATGATTTCCTCGCATTCTTGCTCAGAACTCGACGCAAACACCAGGCAGTCGAACGTGCTCCCGTGCGGGCTCTCCGGGGAAGTGCTAGAGATGGAAACACGGCAGTGAGAGCAGCTCCAAAAGCCCAGCCCTGCCATGTAACCACGGTCCCCTCGCAGACCAGGGACCCCGCGCCTGCTCTGGATGTCACTTGTTTTATTTTCTAAGACCCTCATCCCTCTATATCCCCCCACCCACAGCCCACGGGCAGCACTTACACCACGCAGAAGGCGAATAAATTGCTGCTGTCCACGCAGCGTCCCACGCAGGAGATGGTGGGGTAGGGGTAGCGGCACAGGAGCTGCGCAGGGGACAGGATGGAGATGGTGTTGGGGGCTGCGGTTGGTCCTTGTTGTCCCCGTTCCTGGTTCAAAGTGGTCCCACAACCCCTCCAGCCGGGCTCCCCGCGCCATGAGATGGGCAGCTTTGGGAGTCACCAGTTCTTCCTGGTGCTGCTCTCACCCAGGCCTTGGGTATCGCTCGCTCACCTTTGAAGAAGTCTTCTCCTGTATGAGGACTTCTGCTTCCTTCACATCCAATAAAACCTCCTGAATGGGGGATGGAGGGGGAAGAAGCCCCCGATCATCACAGTGTCTGAGCTCTGCTTTTAATAAAACACTTACAAAAGGAGATTATAGAATCCCAGACTGGTTTGGGTTGGAAGGGACCTTAAAGCTCATCCAGTTCCAACCCCCCTGCCATCAGCAGGGACACCTTCCACTAGACCAGGTTGCTCAAAGCCTCATCCAACCCAGAGCCTCATCCAACCTCAAAAGCAGAGGTGATGAAGCACAGTCAATCACAGCTTTTTCAAGGAGTTGTTCTCTGTGCTGCCCTTTTGGTCATCACCCAGCGCTCTCTCACACCTGAATCATTTCACAAACCACCCCTCAAAGGCTCAAGCAAAAGTGACTCAAGCCCTAAAACACCCCTGGAACCAGGCTCAGCCTCCCCATAGTTTGCCAAGTGCTTTCCTGCATGTGGTTGGATTATTATTTATTTTTCCTTAATGCACTTTCTTCTCCTGGCTGCAGAGATGCTTCTAACCAGAAAAAAAAACAACCCACAGGGGTGGGGGGGTGTCAAAGACTCAGCTAGACCAAATGAACCTGGAGCCAGTAGCAAAAAAAATATATCCCTGGGCAGAGCCTGTATTTCCCTGCAGTTTTCTCACCAAGCCCTTCCTGGGATGCCCTCAGCCCTGTCACTCACCTGCGCTGCCGAGTGTCCCTCCAGCACGGTGTGGATGGCTCGGGCCAGCACCTCTTTGCCACCGTCCTGAAACGGAGTGAGAAGGAGGGAATAACCCATGGGCATGGGAAAAGAAACCCAGAAGAGATAATTTACCCCTAGGCACGTCTCTGCCCCATCTCCTCACCTTCCCAACACCTGTGCGGCCCAGGTACTGCAGGTTGTAGAGCAACCTGGGGAAAAAAGGGCTCGGGGGCATCGGAGCAAGACCCCCAGGCATCCCCCTGCTCTTTACAGGGGAAGATGCCCACAACCCCCCCCCACCCCCAGGCCATGGGAGCAGCTTTGGCCCCACAGCCTTGAGTGGAGACAAGGGACAGCGTGGGCATGGGGCTGCCCCGATGCCAGGACCCCCAGCCCAGCCCAGGGGCTCCCCATGGCTCTGGAGCTACCTGCCCCCCTGCAGCCTCCGTGGTTCC